TAATTACAATAAACTTTGTTATTTAGAAACATATATTAAATAAGGCTAAGTGAGTTTCTTTGCTTTTTGGTAAAGTGTATCGACGACCTTTCCCATGCTGTGTATAGTATCTAATGCAATTTCGTAAGTTTTATCACGTGGAGTATCTTCAAACACAATTAAAACACCTTCACCCTGATCGAGAACACCTCTTAGCTTCTTATCCAATATCATTTGTGAGAGTTTCTTCTCCACTTGAGTAAGTGGCAGTGATATACAGGTCGCGATATGACTAACCTAAATTAATAAATGAAATAATACATGAATTTTATATGATCTATCTAATGTAATCTAAAGCAAATTATCATACCTGTACACGGGAATAAGGTTCGACTAGACGACATAAATTCTGTTCAAGCATTGCATCATAAAGGGAGCCAAGATGAGCACGTACAATTACATCGTCTTCTAATTCTAAGCGATATTTTTCTACAGCTGTTTGAAAATCAGCTAATGACCGACGATGACTTGCTTCTGCAACCGCTCGCATTGCATCCAAATCCCTTCCTGCATATTTAACAGTTAATTTTCCTGACATAATTGATTGAACATCTTCGGGTGTACGTAACATAATTTTTGAAAGCAACATATACTTCAAAGCTGTTAAAGCCTTTGGGCTTTCTACACTGTCATATCTGAAAAGCGGTGAAGAATTAAAATGTAGAGACACTTATACACATACATAATGTATTATAACTTGAGAAGGCAACATACCCTTCAAATGCTTCATAAAAATAGGAATATGCAGTTTTGAAATCTCGTTCATCTGCAGCATGTAAAATCCCTGATTGCAAATCTAAAGCAGCTTGCATTTTAGGTGGACAATAAATTGCATTAGCAGTTGTTCTAGCACTGGTAAGAGCTGCTCTTGCTTTTGCTAAATTACTTAATGCATGGTAAGTTTTACTTTCCAATAATTGTACCTCAACCAAGAGTTGTTTGTCATCCAGCTTTTTAAGCTCTTTAAGTAAAGCTGATCCTAATTGTAATGCTTCACTGTACATACCGGTATCAAAATATAATGCTATTAAACGTGCTTCTAATGATTGCCTTAAAAATGTTCTACGTTCTTCTTTTGCCCATTCTATACATTCTTTGCATAATTGGACCTGTTGATAAAAAGAACAATCGTACTTAACTATTTACAAAAATTGAACATAATGTATCAGTACAGATACCTCGATTCCAATGCCAGCTTCTAAATCCAAGAAAAAATCTACTAATGATCGCACAAGCTTGGCAGCTTTTGCTTTGCTAATCAAGCTAAGAAATGGTCTGGTAGCCTTAATCAATTCTGCCAACTCTTTCGCCTTGCCTTCTTTCTTGTAGAGTTCACCAAGATGTAAAATACCTTGTTCCTTGACGCGAATGTTATCTTCATCATCCTCCGTGATACCGATACTTGGATCGGAAACGATTTCATTTAAAAGCGAAATACCTTCGCTACGATTCGTCATTGAGACTGCTTGTGCACGCTCGAATAACATTGCACCGGCCATTTAAGAAATTTTCACCGTCTTGTAAGGATGAAAACGAAATTGGATAACCTTTATTTCCTCTTCGAAATGAATAATATTATATGTTTGAGTAAACGATGAAATCTGTAAAATGATTTGTATATTTTACAGAAAGTTGTAACTAATCTGTTTTGACACGTTAAACGTTGCATACATCTATGTGCACCGCCACACAAATTTTAAAAACGTTTTCTGTTTGTCACTATTCGCAATCCGCCTCAACCTCGGAACCACAAAACACATGTCACGCTACTACGTAAATCAACTTCGTAACTTTAAGATTGGTGAAGATCCTTCTGTGCATATTATTACTATCAATTTCTAATACATATGATTACATTTCTGTGATTAAAGCTTGAGTATTAACATTTTCTTTGTTGCATTTGAAATTTGTATTTTTCTTTTTTAACCAATTTCATCACGAATAAGTAACCGAGAGGGATAGAAACTATAAGAAGCAAGGAAAAAGAAGACAGGGTATAAAAAAAAATACTATTTGGAAGATTCGAGATGGAGATAGCATATATGTGTTTTATAAAATAAGATATAAAATGATATTGTATGACATATAAATATTCGAATGCGGAATAAATGTGAATCTGGAGTGATATAAATGCTGAAAGAAAAGTGTAGTTATTACAATTATTTCTTTTAACCATTATGAAAGAAAAATGGAAAAAAGAATGTGGAAGTTTACCATGACGAATATTATTAATGAAACATCTTTCAAATTAACGTGTCATAATTGTTAGTTGCAATTTATTAAAATCTATTTTTATGTTAAAAAGAATAATATTTCACCTGAAATAATATATTAATAGTATATTTCATAGGTAATAAAATAAGGTCTAATTTACCATTTCAAATAGCCTTATACGTAAATCTATGGTTCTTTCCAGTCTGGCTGTTGATTATTATTATAAATTTGGATGGAAAAGTAAGTACTGCATCCATAATGAAGTTATAAAATCAATGCCTAGTATTTAGTATTTAAATTTGTATTAATGTCATTTATTATTTTTGCAGTACAACAATTTGACAAATGTTTATAAACCTATAATTGTGATATCTTATTTGATACTTTCAATTTTTGAAAGTTTAAAATTATATTTGGGATATCTTGGAAACCTTGTTGGCAAGGTAATTCTATTTTGTTTGTAATCAAACTTGGTTTGTATTTTCTTATATAAGAAAGTTATTATTATTAGATTTCAGAATTAACTAGCTGCTGGTTAATTTCAATATTGATACAACTTCCTTTAGAGGTGTTTCTTCTATTTGATCATGGAATATTGTCTCATTACAGTGAAACGTTTGTCAATTCTTTTATGGTTTGTCTTCTTGTCATCGAAATCATTACAGGTATGATTGCTTTGATAAATTTGGCAAATCATCGTGCTAAAGTATTTTACCTAACGCATTTGTATAATACATGTACAGAAAAAGGAGATTAATTTTCCTTCAAATAGCTTTATAAATAATGTTTTATTTTTTAATTGTGTATTTTGAATAAATACAGGATATATATAATTGTAATGATATGTAATATATTATATCGAAATATAATTGACTGATTGTTTATTTAACAAAAATCCCTAATCAATGTAATACCTAACACGGAGACTAATGAAACATATTACATCATAGAATCAAGATCATGAATTTCATAAAATGTCTGTATTATTGATATGTTTTTTCGTAAACGCATTAGGTAGGTTTCCATATCGCTTATAATATTGTCATACACGGTAGTATGTTTATCAGTAAGTGTTTGTAAAAGTTGCGAACGTGTAGGAGTCATGCGAGATAGTAGCTGTTGAAAAAAATTCGTTAGTTACAAGAAATATTTATAACATGGAGAAAAATAGAAGAAAATCATTGGAAATAAGAATAATTTTTTAAAATAGTATCAATAGAAATTTCTTTACGTGAGGATGGTAGTTGCATTTTCGTATTTTAAAACAAGATACATGAAAATTAAATGAAATTAATATAAAATACTAGCATTTTATAGGATAAAAGTAGAAAGTGTCGCTTTTCAAATGTTTGTATATATGTATACATATGCTTAGTAAATGAGAACTTACGTCAAATAATTGTTGTGCCATCCAACCATGATAAGGTTCTAGTGCTTCTTTATAAGACTTTTTTAGAAATGCTACTAAATCTTCTGTCGGTGTACCTGTTTTAGTATCTTGGACAATTTTCTCGAGAAACAACAAAATCATATGTAATCCCCTGCAATTGGTAAATTGGAAATTAATGAGTAGTAAATAGTAAACAGATATTAATACACGTGCGGAATTAAATTGAATAGAGTTGCAGCAAGAAATGGGAAAAAGAGTTGGAATATATGGTTAATATAGAGTATACAGTGACCTGGTTAACCATAGCAAAGCATCCACAGCGATTAGATTAGTTTCGGTAGCTTTTTCAATTAATATCATGTCTTGTAAAGTAGCGTTTCTTTCCTTATTCGTTGCATGCCTGTTTGCAAGTTTCTACAATCATGGTTAATTACATACATACACATGTGAATTCATTAGAATAGACGATTGCATTTTAAAATAATACATACATCAATGTTACGCTGAATATCGTATTTAACCGGAGCAAACACTTTGCCAAGTTTTTCTAAAATGATTATTCATCTTTTATATTTTCATTTTTTATACAGGTTATGTTCAATTGACTGCAAATACATGTATATATATACCAACAATTCGCACAACTCCACGTGCCGCATCCAGAAATTCTGCAGTATTTATTTTGTCCTCTGTGAATTCTGGAAATAAAACTTCAATTTCATTAATGGGTATATTTTTGTTATTATTAGCACTCGAAGCTGGTGACAGCATGATTCTATATTGAAACGAAGGTAATTTCAATTATAACTAAGAAACGATATATGTATAACGATATATATATATATTTATTCTCTTCTTTTTCTTTTTTTAATTCTTTATTTTTTTTTTCGGAATATTTTAATAATATTTCTTGATGTTTTGTTACCCATTGGTATGTACTTTTTCCAAGTATGACGGGGTTATAATAATTTCAAATTTTCGGTGCTAGTATCTAACCGAAATGGGAATTTTTGGAACGTATTTCTTTTATTCCTATTATTTCAATTTTCTTTCGTATTTCAAAAGAATTGAAAAGTAAAGATACAATATAACGAACTTCGCATATAGAGATGATCGGAGTATAATAAAGATAGTATTGTCACGAATATTAAAGGAATAATACGAAAACAAATAATCTAATGATATAATTAGTATTTAATGAGGAAGTAAGGAAGATATATTTCGATTATGTTACTAATTGTAATCGTAAGATTAATATTTTCAGAATTTTACCAATACTTTCTCACACTAGCCATATCTACAGATTATTATCATCAATAAGGCATCCTAGTTATTATTGTATAAGTAGAATACGTCGGGTATTAATGTGATTTGTCGATTTAAAAGTATTATCGAACTAAATTCACAGTTATTAAAGTGTACGTACATATGTACACAGCAATTTCGCAAGTTTATTATGTTTTCTTATTAGATCGTTAATAAGAAATTGAAATTCTAATTTATATAAAAGCGTTCGTTCCTTTCTTGTTATTATTGTATACATTCGTTCATGCAACCATACATACATATAAACATTAGTGCACAATATATTCTTTATCAAATACAATATATCAATTGTTACGTCAAAAATCTACATTTGGAATGATATTTACAAAAAGTGTTTAAGAAATTAACGAAACGAAAGTTGAATAGCATTTTATCGTATGTAAATTCTTATCAATATTCCAACGTATAAGTGCAATATGAATGAAAATGTAGAGTATTTTCTCCTCCCTTTGTATATCCTTTGAAACGTATACGTTATCTTGTTGTTCTGGTTTTCTTTTTTCCCTCTTTCCTTTTCTCTCTTTATATCCATGATATTATTGTTGGTAACGATTTAAGCAGGATATAAGTTGTGTTAAAGTGCACTAAGGAAAAAAATGTATTTTTATAAGAACTGATGGTAAATCGGAAAACGCGTGTTCAAGAATGGTGCGTTTGAAAAGAAGCTTAGAGGAAATATCGATAGTTAATATAAAGGAAAGAAATATAAAGACCGAGTTTGAGATTGTTATCGGTTAAATTAGCTTTAGCAGAAAAGCATCATTGTTAACGTTAATCGTACTAATCGTACACGCTTCTACGAAAATGGCAAAGAAATAGGAGAAAAGAAAAGGAGAAAGAAAAAAAGATAAAAAGTTGATTCATCGGCATTGAATCATTAATTGTGTTCCTGCTTGGAAGATTTCGACGATGGTGAAAACTTCAAAATGCCGTTGGAAGAGGATATTTGAGAACGTTGCCAGTTGAATCTTCAGCGGCAAGAGTCAAAGCGGTAAGACAATGAGGTGGAGCTGGTGGAACTAATGCCTCGAAAGGTGGGCGAGAGCCTGGGAATTGTCGAGAACTGACTACCATTCCACCAGATGTTTCTCGAAGCTCTATTACTCGTACTCCGAAACGAGATCTTACAACGTTCCTGTGATAAAAAAAAAGACCATGTTTATCTATAGGTATGTATATGTATGACAGCACTGCCACGCGTGCGGTCGCGTGCATACATACACACTTAGAGAAACAGGCGCGCTTATACATATGCTGCAGAAAGAAATACTCGTTTATATACCTTTTCCCATCATATTCTATGTCGTGGAAAGGTCGGTTGAAAACGTTGTCCATTTCGCTGTTGAACCATCGGTGATAGGCAAGGAATGCTGCGCAAGACGGTGACCAAAATGTTCGATCAGTTTGCGAATTTGGAGACTGCTCGAATGTAGGTTGTAAGAGACTTTTTGAAAAGGATCTGTTGAGTTCTGGACTAGCAGGTGCGGATAACCTGCCGAGTAATCGTGAAGGACTTTGAGAAGACGAAGGACGGGAGGATTCGGATAGCAGGCGATTTCTTCGAGGGCTTCCTAATAGACCATACGGTTCTTGTATGGTGACCGTGACGCTGAGCGGTCTACTTAATGCAATGATTGTATGTTGTGGATCTCTTCGTAGAACAGGATTGCGATTGAAATCGATTCCAGCCGCCCCGACAAAGACACGATCAACATAATCGAATCCGCGGCCCATTATGCCTTCGCGAGTATGGCCAAGATCGAAAGTGTGCCCTAATTCATGGAGAACAGAACCAAGAGTCGTAGCGAGACATCCGCCATGTGTACCGCGATAATTACTATCATCCATTAACTGTTCCGTATCGATAACCGTTGCGTCAAGGAATCTAGGCAATACCTGAGCCATGCAGGTGGGCCACGTATGAAGACAAGCCGAACCAAATAACGCTAATCCACCGCCACCAAGCGCGGCATGTCCTTGCGTCCTCGCTAAAGTGTCTTCGTGAGTGCGTGGATTTGGTGCGCCGCGATATCTAGTACAAGAAAGAAATGCGAGGTACTTGCGATCTTTCGATGCCAAAGGACCGGTCATTAATTCTCGTGCGATCAATTCCCAAAGTTCCCGTTGATTCATCGCACGTGCTCGATCGACGTCGAGCATGCTGTGCATTACCAAACATTCTGCTCCATCCAAGTCTCGTTCCAGTTGAAACGTTTTCCTTCCGTAACCTGCCTCCCTTAACTTCTCGGCGGTGAGAGTTTGTAAAAGTCGGGCACCGAGACCTATTCTTGTCGCAGCACTTTCCGGCGACTGATCTTCTCCCCGGGGACCTTGGAAATATCCATCGTGACCGGCGCAAATCACATAAACAGGAGTTACACGTAGTCTCGTCGTTCTTGGTTCGTGAATTAGAAGTAGTCCTTTCTTATGACCTGCCACTTCTAATTCTAACTTATTTGGACCGCGTGTCAATTCTACTATCACACGAAATTCACCAGACACGATTGGCCATTCAGAACTTTGATTATTTTGATTTCGTACAATAACGAAGGTACATGCCATTGATACACGACCTCGTATCAGAGCTAAACTGTAACACAAGCTCTCCCCATCCGTTATGTTTGTAACCGATATTTCTTCTGAATTTCCGTTTTCCATGGATTTGCATTGTCGATTTTCTCGTTCTAATGGAAATTCTCTATGAGCTTCATAACAACATTTACGCTGACATCGTTGTTGTTCTTGTTGTCGTTGTTGCTGTTGCGGATCGTGAAGAAGATTTGCCACATTTGTGTCTGCAAGTACCTGTGGAGGTTGCGTGCTTTTACGTATAATTTTACAGTGTATTACAAAATGAAGACAAAAATTAGGAACAGTAGTGTGACGAAGACTAATGTATGGATAATGACGATGACGATTACAATGATGATGAGGATCGCGACGACGACGACGATGACGAGAATGACAACAACCACTACTACAAAAGCGAAGGCGAAGGCGAAGGCGAAGGCGAAGGCGAAGGCGAAGGCGAAGGCGAAGGCGAAGGCGAAGGCGAAGGCGAAGGCGAAGGCGAAGGCGAAGGCGAAGGCGAAGGCGAAGGCGAAGGCGAAGGCGAAGGCGAAGGCGAAGGCGAAGGCGAAGGCGAAGGCGAAGGCGAAGGCGAAGGCGAAGGCGAAGGCGAAGGCGAAGGCGAAGGCGAAGGCGAAGGCGAAGG